GGTCCCGCTGGAGCCCCGGCGGCTCCTCCTGCCTGCCAGGTCTGTCTCACACAGGGTTTTCGTGGGATTGTAGAATGCCTTTCAGTCGCTGCCTGCTTCTTCCTTCTCCAGTCAACTGGTGCGCCTAAAATTAAAGAAAAATGAGCGGTTTGGTCTCATAGGTATAAAATCGGGAGGTTTAGAGAGGGGTCGTGGCAAGCTGTTCGGTAAATAGTGCGTAGCAGCCCCCTCACCTCATCTGCGTCGAGCCTTTTCGTGGCCGAGGGCAGAACTTTCGGTGCTGGATTGCCTCTGTCCGGTACCTGTTTGCACAGGTGTCGGCCACTTGACGGCATGCAAGACAGTGATGGATCAAGAAGAAAAACACCTTAGTCTTTGGAGGCAAAACTGGGTTTCATCCAGGAAGGTTTACCTCCAAGAAGGCAAAGCTTTTAAGAGCAATTTACCTTGACGTTGCAGGATGAAGTCAGCAAGGTATTTTTCAGGAGAAGAAGAGATGTCTGTTCAAGAAAGTAGCTGAAGAAAGGAAGGAGAGGGAAGAGGACTAATGTAATTATTGCTTCCTTCCAGTAAGCAGTGGTTCACTCCTGAGTCTTCTCGCACCGTCTCAATACCTCTCAGCTGTTGGAGACAACTTGTGAAAACATAGACCCAGAAACACAGCCAGACTGCCCTGTACCACACATCTTGGAAGGGGAGCAATGCTCCTTACATCTTGTGGATATAAAGAATTGCAGTGACAAATAAATCCACCAGAGTGAGATAATGCATCGGGCTTTCTGGTAGTTTGCCTTTCTGTGAAAAACATGTCCAAAAGTGAACCCTCTGAATACCCTGCCTATTTTCTGTTCTGTGGTGGGTGGCGTGTGCACAGATGAGGAGGTAGGGCTTCTGCTTTGCCTCTTTTGTACTTTAAAATTGTCTTTTAGGGTTTTTTTCTCCCAAATTCCATCCTCGTCTGAGGTGTCTTTCCCTTTCAAGCTGTGTTACTTTGACTGTTCACATCGAGTGGAAGAAAGGAGTAGGTGTCTGGCTTCACTCACTGGAGTGTGTTTCATGGGGGTCCTGCACATACAGGGCAAGTAATTCCATGGCACACAGTATACATTGCTAACCTGTTTTTTCTTGTAGTTTGCTGCCTAAGTCATCTGGGTGGTGGCTGCTCCGTGCCATTGGAGAACTTTTAGGGTGTGTGGGGGAAACTGTCTGCTTTCTTTGTGTCTGATGTCACTGTGCAAGAACCAAAAACAAAGGGAGGAAAAGGTCAGGATAAACAAGGTTCTTGAAGACAGCAAGTGTGTTTTGGAGCCAGCTATGCAGGGGGATGGGTATCCTTCTGACTGTGCTGAGCTGATTAGCGGTAGTATAGAAGCTTGCAAAATGCTAGGAGCTGCAGGTATGTCTGGATTAATAACGGAGGTTCCAGACAGGTTAACATACAGACACGGCAAAAAGTTTGCCCTGAAGCCTGCTTTATTATGGCAGCTGTGTACAAATCAGCGAGCTGTACACTGAAAGGGAAGGAAAAAAGAGGCCGTGTTGAGGGCAGTTGTGTTTAGCCTCTCTTCAGTAGTAACAAGTCATTGTAAGGGTTTCAATTTGTTAGCAACTTCTGAAAATTAAGGAAGTGGACTGATGGGGTTTTGTGACTGTGTCCCCCAAAAGCCAGATGCTCGCAGGACAGTTGAGAAATTTTGCCCCTCCTCTAACAGGCACCTTAAGTGGACTCTAAATTTCATTCCTTCTAAGATGGTTGAGTTCTGACTCAAACCCTCTTGAAGTTTCAGGAAGGACTCTTCAGCAGACCTGAATCTGGCATCTGTGTCTTTAAGCTGTAGATTAAAACCTTGCTAATCCGCGTTTTAAACTGTCACGGCTGAGGTCAGCATTGTAGTTGAAGTCTCACGCAATATTCATGTAAGCACAAAACTGGAACAGCTTATCTGAAATGTATTTTTAAAAATTCATTTATTTAGTCTGGTGGGACTCCATCTTCATCTGTTATGCATAAACATAACTTGATTTAGTTAAAAAGCAAACTAAAGCACTCAACAGGATTAAATCCGTAGGAGAGTATCTGTTCAAAGGTTTTGTACAAATTGATCAGACTAATTTTTAAAAAACATACATGAGCTAGACTGATGTGATTTTGTGTTCAGATCTTACAGTCTTTCAGTAAAGAGGCCACAAAACACTTTGTAACTTGAATTGAAATAATGGTTATAGGAAAACTAGCTTTTTCTTTGGTTTTTTTTTGTTTAGTTTTGGTTTTTTTTCCTGAAATGAGTTAAGTAACATGTCCTGATGCGTGTAGTCCTACTCCAGAACATTAACAAATGCCTCCACATGATCAAAAGAATTTACCCTTTGCAGTGGTATTTACAAAAAAAAAAATCTATCAAATAGTCTTAAGAGTATGAGAGAATGCTCGTACTCTACATCATCTTTTTGACTACCAAAGTCTTTAGTGTATGTGAGCGGCATGCTTGTGGATCAGGATATAGAAGATACAAACCCTCTGATTCCACTGAGAGCTACTCAGTCAATTTTTGCTTTCTTCTTGCAAAGAGGTGGTGCAACAAGTGTTGCGGTGGTGGTTGAATGCTGCAGCTGCTGTCCGGGAGATGTAGCAGATAGTAAAGAATACTTGAGCTTTGGTAGGACTATAGGAAACATCCTTTGTCAGGACTGTGGCCAGATGTGAGTGAAGTTACATGGTCATGATCTGAGGAAGCCTCTGGCATTCCCTCAGTGGCCCATGTACTGTATTCCTTTCGTACAATTAAGTAGTTGGAAACTAAAAGGAAAGGTCCAGAATTGCATGAAGGCAGAGGATGGACTGTTATTGATGGGCTGCTTACCTTTTTTCCAGAACTGTAACTTTTAATCCTTCCCTTTTGCAGATCCCAAAGGAAATTTTCTGTACTCCTGGTATTCGTTTTTGCACTAATCTTAATGGTATCAGCATTTGAATTGTACGTGATTATCAAACCATGCAGGCCAATTGTGCATTATGTAAAAAAATTGCACATGCAACATACTTTCTGAAACCAGAATGAAATGGATAGGTGCCTCACTTGCTTCTAAAGGGCAGTGTTAATAGCTGCAATGGTCCTCATAGGGACCCAGGCTGATATCAGAGAATGAAAACCATCTTAATTTGTGAAGGAAAAAGGCAAAATTTGCCACTTTGGTGGGGTGAAGGATTTCTGTAAGAAGAGTCCTTTTATTCCTACTGGAAATGTGCTTGATCTACGGCACCGTTCATCAGTTGGTGCACCCACAGGTTTTTCACATCTGGTTTATGAGGCTGGCTTCCTATGTGGCAAAACACACCGTTGGAGCTGGCAACTGAGGAAGGGATTCAACCCTTCCATTGGTTCAGAAAGAGCAGTCCAGCGGGAGGTGGCTGTCTGGCACCATTCCTTGGTGTGGCTGATAGGTATGGTGGCCTGACTGCAAGGAGCCCTCCTTTGCTTGAGCTGTGTGCCGTTACCAGGGTGCTCTTGGCAGAGATTTGCATACTATTTGCAGCTATAAACTGCGTGGGTGGTGGCTTTTTCTAAGTATTTTAATGAAATCCAAAAGCCAGGGCTTTGAAAGGAAATTCAGCCTGTCTGAGAATGTACCTTTAGCGTGAGGTAAGGTGTCAGGCATGAAGTAGACGGTGCTGAGAAACTGCTTCTGTAATTGTCATTTTGAATGCCAGCCTAGGAGTATGTTTTAATGAGCCTTGCATATGTTAGATGAGATGAGTCCATTTTAATCATTGTAAGCTTTGTTCTCAGACCGTGGTGAGTGGTAGACAACAGTAGCTGAATGAACAAATAGCTTCTCCGTATGTTGTTCTTGGATCCTTTCTCTGCTAGATTTTCATTAATGTCAGTAAAAGTTTGTAAGTCTCTGCGAGGAGGAGATGTGTCCCAAAGGAGTGCTCTTGTCTCAGAGTTGTTTTCTGTTGTCTGCTTTAGGGAAATGTTGTTGGGAGTGATTTTCTCCTGTGCTTGGGCTAAGCAGGAGAACATGAGGAAGCTGAGGCTGGGGAACTCATCCTGTCTCATTGTGAAGCTGCAGTAGAGTCATTCCATAACTGCTCACTTGTAGTGCCATGGCTGTCCCTCAGTACTGGCAGCTGCTTCCCAGAAGAACCAAGTGATCCCTACAGCATTAGCTCCTGCGAATTGCTAGTAAAATGTTTTCAGGCTTTAACTAGAGAATCATGCTTTGGGTTGTTGGTAAAGCAAGAGAAAATATGTATTTGTTCAACTCTTGCATGTTAAACTTAAAAAAGCTAGCAATGGTCTGAATTATTAGCCTTTTCACCTTCCTATTACTAGTTTTTGATCATATTCAGTTGTTTCTGTAATGCAGAACAAAGGCAAAAAATGATGTATAAAAGGATTTACAGCTTCGGGCTCTCTTTACCCGGCACAAAAAGGGTTCTAAGTCTTTTAGCTTAGCTTTGTATTTCAGATCTTCCAGACAATAGCTATTGCTCAGTGACTTGACTTTCGCAAAGCTTGTACCAGCCCTGTCTAGTGCCAGTACTTCTAGTGCTTTTTCCGTGCTAGGCTTGACAGCCGTTGAGAGGACAGGTCACTTGCCAGGACACCCTATTCCTCAGCTGCTTGCTCTTGTAGGCTTCCTGAATTGCAACAGTCTTGAGTATTTGTAGACTCTGAATAAAATTCCTCTGGGCATAGACTTGAAAGGTAATTTAAAGATATGATTAGCCACATTTTACCTTGCTTAAAGTTTTTGTGCTGTTATTAGGCTTAATGATGTTGAACAAAATAAGCTGATGCTCTGCAAAACCAGCTCAGGTTTGGCAGAAACTGAGGGTCGTAATTTGTTGAGCTGGGGCTTCACTGGATGACACAATGGTTTTATAGATATCTTATGCAGCCTGTGAATAATTAAGATTTGTTTATTTTCTGTCCTTGTGATACTGTTTTGTATTTTTTTTCCCCTAGATAAGCAACATCTTGTTTTTTGTTTTACCACCCATATGTATGTGCTTGTTCCGTCAGTACGCAACCTGCTTCAACAGTGGAATATATTTAATATGGACTCTGCTAGTTGTGGTTGGTAAGTTGGTTAGTCTCTGTTTGTCTGCTCGTGCATGAACTGAGAGAGGAAATTGGTTTTTCCTGCTTGCACTTGACAGTTTTGCAAAACAAAGCAATCCTGACGTCTAAGGAGGAGTTTGCTTGTACTGGTTTGAAGCTGAAGCAGCTGTAGTTTCTGAAAGTAAAATGCCTTTTGAAATTTGAGGTTGGTGGGAACTTTGGCCTTAGTTCTGTTCCCTTCCTATCCTTCCTTTGCATAACTTTTTGTTTATGTCTGGGCTTGCTCTGCAGCAGTGCTGACCCTCTTTCTTCTGTTGTTGATTCTTAAATGAAAGCTGAAAATTGCCCAGCACAACTGAAGAGGATAACACATTTGGCAGTGTAATGAGAAAGCTCAAAGGCTTACCTGTTTTGTACATGTGAGATTCTTAAGCTTTTTCATTCCTGGAGGCTCTGTGGACTTTTAAAGGGATAATCAGAGCCCTGTAGGGCAGTGTGATGCTTTCCACCTGTAAACCTATATCATGGAGTAGCTGCTTTTCATTTTTTCTTACCCGTTCTTGTGCTATTGAGAAAACTGAGAAGCAGCATTGGGGTTTTATTTCTTAATTGGTTTTGCATTTAACTTTACCACTCGATTTTTTTTTTTTCACATGCATTCTGGTAGGATCTGGCATCTTTAGCTGCTGCTTTTGTAATGTATTTGCTTTTTAATTAATGAGGTTCTGATTACTTGGATTGCTGCCTCAGGAAAATTGGTGTTTGTTTTCCAGTTTTCCTTTTTTTTAACCTTTTCTAGATCAAATGGTATCCACCACTTCTATGAAGTTCTGAACATGAGCAGTGTTTTGGTCTATATAGTACAGACTTATTCATATTGCCTTTTGATTGATTCTTCCAGGAATTGGATCTGTTTACTTTCACGCCACCCTCAGTTTCCTGGGCCAGATGCTGGATGAGCTGGCTATTCTGTGGGTCCTGATGTGTGCTCTTGCCATGTGGTTCCCTAGGAGATACCTGCCCAGAGTTTTTCGAAATGACAGGTAATCATACATGTACACTTTCCTGTTTCTTGAAACTTCTTATGCTGGCACCTAAACCTGCACATAATGGCTCTGAGTGATCATCCAACCTTACTGCTGCCTCCGATATCTTTTCTCACTCTGTTCTCTTTCCTGTTGCTTGTATCTCAGCCCATTTTGTTCAGAATTCACGAGTCTGCAGTTGCTGATGGTGGGGTTTGCGCCCTATAACTTCAGATCTTGGAGTGAGGTGACTTGCCTCTGGAAGTGCCTGTTCATGTTGATTTGAGGGAGACCTTTACATAAGTAGTTTATATAAGATGCGGCTAAAGTAGCGTAAGAGAAACCTTTCCCTCTTCCTTTTGTATATCCTAAAGTGTACATACAAGTGGACCTACGGAATTAAGCTGAATTTTCATCTGAATATTTCAAGCAGTGGTTAAGGACGGTGTTTAAGTATTGAAAGGCTAAGTGTTTGTTAAGAAGCCTGTTGAAGTTATAAAAGTTTTTTTTTTGTTTTTCTTGCAGGATAAAAAAAGTATGTTGTAACCAGTTTAAAGAATCTTGTTGTGGTTATTACCCCCCTAAAAAGTGTGCTATAACCTTTGTACATATTGTTGTTTTATGCAGTAGAGAAGTTGCTGTAATGGAGAGGTTTAAACTGCAGCACCAATGTTCTTCTCTCTGAAAATAGCTAAGGCTGCTGCCTCTTGCCATCTTAAACTGTTACTGTCTGGGGTTTTTTGGTGGGTTTTTTTTCCTTCACATGTGCCTGATTAGAAGTTGCTGGCGGAGGGTGGAGAAGGTTGGTGCCTAGACTGACCATTCCTCAAAACAGCTTGCACTGAGAAAACTGTATCTTAAATTACTGTGTACAGTCTATGCAGTCTAATGTCTTCATCATGTTGCTGTGAATTTAGTACTTTGTATATTGCAACGCAGTGCTTTTACAGGACACCATCATCTTAACAAGCAAACAGGGGTTTACTGGGGTATTTTGGTCAATGATATGACTTTTAGACATTTATTCAGTGAAGAAGAGTGCAGAGCCTTGAAGAATTTCTGTGACTGCATGTAAATTATTCCTCAAAAGCCGAAGGGGATCATTATATGTCATCTATCACTATCTTCTGATATGGTGCTAGGTATGTTCATAGTATGAGCTGAGAGGTTAAACTGTATCCTTTTTAGAAGGAATGTTAAGGCTTCTTTGGTGAAATCCTGTTTCGATTGAACTTGGTGTTAAAAGTATAAATAATAGTCTCCCAGGCTATAATCGATACGTAAAAATGCTGAGATGAGGTGAAGGATGTCCCCTATCCTGGATTTCTCAGAATACTTCTTCCTGAGAAACTGTCAAGGCAGTTATCTGTTAAGGTCTTGATTCCTTTCTAAAGTGTACAGAAGAAAGACCTACTGAGCAACAAACCCTAACTCAGAAAAGGCTTGGTTTATGTTTTTAGGTTTTTTCAGTGCCTAGCTAATCCTCTAATATTATGTCTATCCTGTGCTCACTGTTGTGGTCTTCACTTTCTGCATCCTTATCGCACTCTGGATTTTCAATACTGCAAATGTTATTATCTACCCTGACCAATTTGTGGTGTCTTTAGTCATTAAGGCCTTCACGTCAGATCAGAACTTCCTACTTAGGTAACTTGTTGCCTTCCAGCAGAAAGAAAAACTTTAAAGCAAAAGGCAGTTGGAATGAGCTAGGTGAAGGTGGTGACACTTGTGTCCAGGGAACTGTGCTGCACAACTGTACTGAGACCTTACTTCAGACTTAGAATTAAGAACAGAATAGCCATGCTCGGACAGCAACTAATTTTATAAAGCTATGGGCCAGTAGTTGAAGGGCAGCGTGAGCATCCTCTGTCTGCCATAGTCCTGCCACAGACTGGAAGTGAGTTGTTTAAAGTCCAAACTTGAAGTTTAAACAACAGTTAACATATATTTAATTTAAAAGTTGTCAGGCTGTGTATATACAGCCCAATTGTGATTACATTTGTGCTAAGAATGTACTACATTGCAATCTTTAAAAATTGTGGGAATCCCTCCCCTACCATTGAATTTGGTTAAAAGAAATGTTCTTACTTAGCTTGTAGTTTTCAGTGTGTTTAAGGCTTAAAAGAGATAAAGGAAAATAAAACAGGCTATAATATAAAGGAAAATAAAACAGGCTATAACATGACTGTAGAAGTTAGGGTATTAACGGTAACAAAATACCCTAAAAATCCACGTTAAAAGCATAAAGAATGAGAATACAACACGGCTTTGAGGAAGTACAGTGCTGTGTGCAGAGATGGACTTGTTCTTGACTTACTGTGGGAGAAAGAAGACTGGATTTTGAAACCAGTAATTAGTGTGTGTGTATGTGTGCATGAGCATGCATACATGTGTGTGGCTGAAGACCACAGTCCAGCAAAGATTTGTGTATATGATTAACTCTGCATGCACATGCAAATCTGTGCAAGATCCACATCCATTTTATGCACATTGTCATTGCACCTACTGAACATACCCAGAGAAACCTAAATTTTGTTACATTATTAAAACAATTTTAAGATTGCTGGTTTCAGTAATTAAAAATTTTGAATTAAAAGCAGTTTTTCTCCCTGAAAACCCCTATTCAGGAGCCGATTTAAAGCTGCCGTGGGTGTCCTGTCTGGAGTTACTACCTGCCTCGCCTTTATTAAGCCTGCCATCAACAATATCTCGCTAATGACTCTGGGTGTTCCCTGCACAGCTTTGCTCATTGCTGAGTTGAAGAGGTGAGTACATTTCTCCTGAATGCAGTGTTGCCTTCTGAGATCCTTACGCCGCCGTGTCATGATACATTAGATCTGGCTTCAGTGTTTGTGATAGCAGATCAGAAATACTTCTACCACATGCAAGCACAGATTTGGTATAAACTTGCTCTGCCAGTTCAGACATTTTTGGCAAGGTTTTTTTTTTTTCCTAGGCCATTATAGGTCAGATACTGTCTGTCTTCTTGCAACATACGTCTTGCTGCAACCTGATCTAACTCAAATTTGTTTGTTTATTGTGGAATTAGGGCAAGGTTTTCACTCTACTGACAGCATTTCTGTTATATAGTCTGCATAAGGGTGAGGTGATCCCACGATCACAGTCTGGGTACTAGAGGGAATGTGGAGCAAGGCCCAAGCATGCATGGAAGATGTTCCAGCTCTAAAAGTTGTACTGTGAGTCTTACACCACTTTGTCTTCTGGCATGGATAATATGATGGAGTCAGACTGACAAAGACAACGTTAATCACTAGGTTGTAGAGGGTAGCTATCAGTCAGGGCCTTAGAAACTATAAAACCAGAATGCAAATAGAGAAGAACCTGAGACTGATCATAACATTTTAAAGAGTCCTACCATGATATTGATAGCAGCAGCTGTCCAGAGACTTTTTTTTTTTGCATCTCTTCACCTGCTGCAAAAAGGACCAGACAAGTACCAGCATATGAACTTGTCCTTTCTCCCTCTGCTCCAGTGTCTGAGAAGGATTTTACAACTTATGTTGGCTCTTACATATTGCATATGTAAATAATCAAAAGAAACCAGAGTAGGACCAAATGTCTGCATTCTGGCTGCTCCTGTTAGCACAGAGATTATCCTGTTTGCTGCCGTACTCTATTCTGCTCTGCTTCTCCACACAGTGGAAGCCTCTGCTAACAATGTTTTGCAAAGGTGTTCGTGAGTCTTTTCTCATTAGACATCCTGCTGAGTAGCATTTATTTCTGTGGTCAAACTCAGGAAACAGCACACAAGTTAGTTGTAGGCAAGGAGGTCAGTAGCTGAATAATATTGGTGGAGGTGTCTCGTTTTGATGAAAGCACCGAGGAACTACTGACTAGGTAAATGGAAATCTGGTTGTGGCACTGAATAATTTAAGGGAACTCTCTACATATCAGTTTTCCAGGCGTGAGCTGAGAAACTTAAAAGGACGAATGGTTAGTGTCTCGTAAGTTTGAATACTATTGTGTCAAATCTAGGAATTGGTATGTCTACAGATATTTGCTTTTTAAAACTCCTTCTGAAAGGTCATATCTTATTAAATGTGTGGAGTTTCCCTGTCTGTTTTTGAGAGAGAATTAAGGACACAGATAAATATTTTTTTTTTTTTTTTTGAATTGGTGATTAAAGAGACCTAAAGTGACATACGGCCCTTTTAATTGCACATTGGGATGATGTAATACCTATATTTTTTTTGATGAATTCCTAACTGTAAAAGGCAAATAATTAAAGGTTTTATTTTAAGCTATGCTGATCTCTAGGAGATTTAAATGAGATATATTCTTGTAAACCCAGAGGAGAGGAATTATCTCATCCCTTTTTGCAGGAGAAGAATAATCTAAGCATTATTTAAAATGCCTGCAGTTCTCCCATTCTCTACCACCACAGTCAGTAGGGGGCTACATGTCCAAGTCCTGGCAATCTGCAGTGGAAATTTATTCATGAAACAGATATTTGGGGAAGGAAGGAGAAAAACCTCCAGAGTAGTTCTTTTGTTATGTGCTGAAGTTCGTGTTACGTTAGACCAAACCTCCCTGTTATTATTCCTGTTCTAGGCTGGTGTCAATCTTGTACAGAATTCTGATGAATCAGAACCACTGTGTTTCCAAATGAGAATTTTCTGCCTCTTGTTTGTCCTTAATGAGGAGACAATACTGCCACAAAACAGCATTATATTCTTAAATGCGGAGCTGGTAGGGTAGAGTGTACACTGGGAAGTATTGTGGGTGGGAGATGATCAAAAAAGCAAAAGGTAGTTAAGTGCATACTTGTCCTTGAAAGACAAAGAAATTGTAAAACTTTATTCTAATTTCTGTCCAAACAAATCCCTTCCTGTGTTTCATTTTAAAAAAAAAAAGGCTCTCCTAGGGGATGGTATTGGGGAGAAAGTAGATGGGAATCCTTTGGTTTGCTAGTCCAAGCCAAATAACCATTGAAATTATAATGTAATCAAATTAGTGTGATTTAGCAGGTCATCATCAGGCATGTAACTATCACTATGTGCAGATAGATGCTAGAATGTTGTTGCCTAGCTGACATCTGATCCTTGAGCAGTGAAGTTTTACCCAAGCTTCAGGTCTGTCCGTTCATATTTGGTTCTCCTACTAAAATCTGGCTGTGGGGGAGCTGTGCTTCATTGTCACAGGCTGCGTATAGTTCTGTTAGGTCATGTTCCTTGACTAAAAGGTTAAGCTAGTTAAAAGTTTAAAATATTCCTTAGGGTATAAAGGGAGATACCCGTATCAAAATAATTCAAGCAGTTAATGAACATCCAGCAGCTTGCACTGGTTTGAAGAAAAGCTGGTATGTTTTGTTGTACATGCCATGACATTGGAAGATAAAGCTGCTGGAAGTGTGTACCAGCCCAGTCCCTCGCATAGCAAACAGCTGGGGCATAGCAGTTCTTGCAGAAACTCTGTTCAAATAACTGCTGTTTGTGTTAAACCGAGAACACCGTGCATTGTATAGGCAAGAGGTGCAAATGGAAATGTAAGCTTTGTGGGGTCCAGTTTCTTTCAAAATAGAGTTGGGTAGGAGCATGTCACAGATCTGAGGACAGCAGTCTGAACAGGTCTTTTAGACCCTCAGCTGACAGATTCTGTTTCAGTGGTAGTTTGAATGATCAGTATCCATGTCTATTGAGAAATATAAGAAATGGGTTGGGTCCATGTCTCTTGCCCATGTCCAGGTGATATTTGTTTACATCCCTCATTGTGGTAAAAACAGAGGCAGGTAGGAAGCTTTGCAGTCCCCTCTCTCCTCAGCAAGTGTGTCCTCAGCCCACCCAAAGGACAGTCACTGCAGGAACTGAAGACTCGATGATGGGTGATCACAGAAAACCTGGGAGTATTGCACAGATCAGCAGGCTGTTCTTGGCTCTTTCTGCCTTAGAGTAGTCTTTTGCAGCATACCCTGCAGCATCTAGTCTTAAGTTTATAAAAATAAATTACAATACCCGATGGTGGTACTGAGCAAACCTGTCATTACAGTCTGTACCATTTCTATGGCTGATCTTGCATTGGAAAAGTTTCTTCAAGTAAGCTTCCAGTTTTCCTTAAATACTTGGAACGATGCAGGTTAATTGTCCTCTCATCTTGATATTCAAACTAGTCAGATATTGACAGGCATGGTCACTGACTAAAGGAGCTGGATGTTTGAGGCCAAGCCTCTTACCTTAAATGGGATGCAGTTGCACGTGTTTGTCCTTCAGACAAGTCCAGGAAAGCCTCTGTGTTCTTAATACACACCCCCTTTCCTGTGTCAGAATGCACTAGTATCCATCACAGCAGTCTAGTTTTACTTGTGAAATGTACAAAATTGATCCATGCATGTATCCACTTAGGTACAGGGTTTAACGAACAGTTGTGTGTCTCACCTAAGACTTTAAATCTGCCTTAGCATTAATGGGAGAGAATTAAGCCTGGTATGCTTAAAACAGCAGTGTTTTTTCACCAATAAATATTTTCCCTCTTCTTTTATGAAGGGATCCATGCTGTCTAGACATTTGGTAGAGGCATGAATCCTCCAAAATGAGGAGAATTTACCAGTATAGTTTTACTGATAAAACTGCCAAATCGTGGAAGTATTTCTTACTTGGGTGTCTCATAAAAGAGGGTAAGAAAGAATTCATGTAGCTGTGCTCTGGAACTTCATAGGCAACTCAAAAATCTCCTTACCATTTCTTTTCTTCATGTTCCTTGTAGCCTTTTTAAATGTACAAGAAACAAGCCTTTTTTACAGTAAGCAGCACAGACAATTTTGAAGCCATCTTGGGCAAGCCCTGTCTCCTCTGACTGTGTCTTGGTGGTTTGCCAAATGGATTGGAGGATTCAGGCCGAAGAAAAAAGCCATTTTGGTTTATATGCTATGTGGAGTATTAATTTTTGTGGCAGTCATGTAGGTGTTTTTGTTACGAAAACAACTATTGAGATACCTTTCTTGTGGAGGAGATTAAAGTTTAGCCCGTAGTTGAAGCACTTTTTTGAATAATAAAGATAGGTGTGATGATTTTGAATGCAACATTAATTATAGATGACTTAAAAAAGAAATGACAGATCCTAAAACCAGCGTGTCCAAAGGACACTGGAGAAAATCCTCTGTCAACAAGATTGGGCAGTTGGTACCTTTTCTGTCATTAATCCAGTAAATGTAAAGGTGCCTTCTGCTCAGCCTTAGGAGTGTCTTAATCCCAAATGCCTGTTAAAATGTCAACTGAAATGGCATTTCAAGAGTGAAAAAAATATCCTACAGGGAAAACTGTACTAATTCTTCAGCTTGCAATACACCAGAGCCAGGTATACTGCTGCTCCAATACATTCAGAAAAGTGTTCCTGGACAGAGTACCCCGTGTATGTTTTTAATTTTTCTGAATGCTTAGCCAGGCTCCCTTAGCAAAGCTGCAGTACCAGTAGCAGTTCTACTTTTTTGCCACAGAGAGGCAGGAGTCATTCTCTGCCCCTGTCCTCCTCCAACTGTGCAGTTAGAGATCATCTCACACATGCAGGAGGGTGTAGTGACAAATTGTAGCTTGGGAACAGAGCTGGCATTACTACTTCCCTGACAGTGAATGCAGGGTAGCCCGTGGCTTGTAGGCTCTGTGTGGCAATGGAGACAATTAGCGGTAAATGTTGGAAAACTTAGAACTCTTTAAATGTATCAAATGAGAACAACAGGTTTCAGGCTGACAAGTATTTTGTGTGGAATACGAAAGGATCAAAGAGCTTTCTGGTCTGTGTTGCACTGTGTTAGTCAGTTGTCAAGGACAGTCGTGTGTAAAGATCAGGGACCATAAATACTATTGCAGTGCACCAGTAAAGACATGTTTGCCTATTCTGGATCCCTCCTCTTGGGATATGCATTTTAATTGTTCCTGAGTGTCACAAGGTAAAGTGTCCCTTTAAAGGGCCTGTTTGCCAGCCATTGCTCACCTTTCAGATGCAGTGAATGAGCCCTGGAGTTGTGTGTAAGACTGGTGATCCAGTGTCGAGTCTACTGGATTGACTGGATTGGAGCAGAGAGAAAGGCTGGCTGGTGATCTGCTGGAGAGGAGGAGGCATAAAGAGATTCCCAGTATCTTTTTGACAGAGGTGTAAGACATAGAAGATGAGTGCGGATTAGAAGAGCCCTTCTTGAAGACCTTGGGACAGATTGTGGGGCGCTTGGCACTTACTTGTTTTCCTTCTAGGATGTAGAAGACGACAGGGGCCTGTAACCCTGATGAAGGCTGTGAGTATTCCTTGTTATACTGGCTAGAGATTTGACTTACTGGTTTATCCTTGAGATGTAGTTCAAACAAGTCACTTTAAACAAATTATGCTGTCATCTGATTAGTATGTTTGGGAGTGCTTTGTGAGGTCATATCAGTGACCTGAGAAGAGCAGTTTATTGAAGCAAGAATTGTCCAAGAGCACTGAACGGTTCTTGGATCCCTGGGAAATTAATCAAGAGTTTAGTAACAAGGACAAAAAAAGGCTGGAGGGGGAAATCCCAAACCATAGCTTTGTTCTTGCAGAAGGCAGGAGAGCTGAATGATGCCTTCTCTTGGCCACATAGGGCTGGTGACGTCCCAGTCTAGCTTTGCTTTATAGGTATCAGTAACAGCAGAGCTGCAGCTACTGGTACCAAGAAGCCTAACCCCAAACTAGCAGGTGTAGGTAGACAGCAGATTATGGACTTTAATAGCATTTTGGGACCTGAAGGTTATATTGATGCCTCCTTTCTCCTCATTTTATTCTTTTGAGCAAAACTGCAGAGTTGTTAGAGTAGTTCCAAGATGTGGAAAAGAACAAAGCATCATGTAGGTAAATAAAGTGAGCTTTTGAGTAGACCTGCAACACAGGTAACGCGATGCAAATGTCCTGGCATCTGCTGTTGTATTCAGTGATGGTCAGCTGCAGACCACACTGCACGTGACCACAGCAAATGTTTTGTGCTCTCTTTCTTTCTGGTATACTGCTATACGAACAAGTCAGGTTACTTGTGGAGGGAGGGAACTGCTTGTTAGTCAATGTGAGGAATTCTGTCTGAGATGTGGATGCCTGCCCCATTACTAAAGCATGCTTCTTTGGGCCCTCTGGATAGAGGCTCGTACCTTAAAAGTTCTCTGGAACTGTTACATTGTACAATATAACTTGTAGGGGAAAAAAATTCAGCTAACCAGTTAAAAAAAACCAAGCTCATCCAATTCCTTATTTTACCAGTCTTTATACAGTGACAAATACAAACAAAGCTGAGCATGTGCTGCATGGCTGGTTGTCACCAGACAGTATGTGTAACTAATCACTAGTTGTCCTAGATACCCCTCCCTAGATATGGGAATGCTTTGATGTTTGCCCACCATTTCCACATTGCTATTTAAGAAAATACCCAAAACACAGCTACTGATTAAAAGGTTTGTTATGTTACCTCACCGCTGCCTTGCATCAGAGCCATATTTACTGTAAGTAAGGTTCCTCTGTTAAGGACATTTGTGGTGGAGTCATTTTAAAGATGTGTGCCTGGCACTATGAATCCTACCCTAAAATACGTACAGCCAAAAAGCATCAAGCTGCCATTACAAAGCAAATTCTGTTTTGTTTTATAACAGCTTCTTTGTGTTTTTCTTCTCAGGTGTGAAAATCTGCGTGTGTACAAACTGGGTCTCTTTTCAGGTCTTTGGTGGATGCTAGCACTTTTCTGCTGGATCAGTGACAAAGTGTTTTGTGAGATCTGGTCCTCATTTAACTTCCCCTATTTGCACTGTGTTTGGTAAGTCTTGTGTATAAAGTCCACAGTTTGATTCAAATGTGAGATGTCCTCACCGCATTACCCTTCTGTGCTTCCTGGTGGGTGTTTCTGGTAAATGCTAGTTAGAATTACTGGTAAGATTATAAGACCAGAGCAAGTCTCACGCTATCCAAGGTGCCAGATTTAGGAGTCTTTTTGGCCTGATCAGATCCTTCAGATGATAAGTTCACTAATTCTAACTGAATTCCTTGCCCTACTGGTTGCTACAAATCCCAGAGCAGTGCTGAACTTAAGCAGTGACTGTGAAAGCTTAGCTTCCACTGTTGACAACTGAGGGTAAAGTGGGGGAGCAGTGAAGGACTTTGATGCCTGTTCTCTTTTACCACCCAGCACATGGTGCTCTCTTATTAAAGGTGCCATATCTCAGCATTTCTGCACAAATCTGTCAGGTGCAGAGAGGCCAAAAAGCTGCAGGCAGTTTAGACCAAGGATAAGCTACAGTTTTGCGGTTTTCCTTATTCTCTGTGTCCTTTGCCTGCATGCAAAGGACAGACAGCAACCCTATGGGGAACTCGGGGGATAAAGGTGAAGGACAGACTGATTTTAAAGTATGGTGGTATATTTGATTGCTTTACTGAAGTCATATTACTGATTTTTTTTCTCTTTTCTTTTTTGGGGTGTGTGTGTCTATTCTCAGGCACATTTTGATTTGCCTTGCGGCATACCTGGGCTGTGTCTGCTTTGCTTACTTCGATGCTGCCTCTGAGATCCCTGAGCAGGGCCCTGTCATAAAGTTCTGGCCCAGTGAAAGATGGGCGTTCATTGGGGTTCCCTACGTCACCCTCCTCTGCGCACACAAGAAATCAGCTGTGAAGATCACATGAAGTTGGCCGTGGAATGGGGATAGAGTTTCAACTTTCATTCCAGCACAGACAGTATTTAAATAATGATAAATGAATAGGGTTGTATTTAATCTTCTTCCTAAGATATGCAGCACTTCAGGTGTCATAGAAAGAGGAGGCAAGTGTGTTCTTTCCTCTCTTTGGAGAGGAGAGAGGAAGCAGGAAGGTGGAGGCTCTTGAACTTTAAATAACCACTAGCTTTTCTGGTTGGCACTGTTTTGCACTGTGTTTTCAATGTAGCATTTCTCTTGATAAAAGCTCTTTCCAAATACCAGGGTCAAGGAATGATGTTTCTGCAGTCAGTCACCTTTGGTGCTTGATTCTCTTCTTTTGTAACTTCTGACATGAGGCCTTCTTTGGGAAAAAAGCCAGTCCAAGATGCCTAAATGCCATCCTGTGTCCTTCTCAGCTCTGATTTTGATGTGGTTGCAGATGGCCACAAGAGTGTGCTCGAAGCACATGCTCCTCTGAGCCTGGCAAGTAACACAGGGCATCTGGCTGTGTATCACATTGGATCGCATTGGATGTGGTTGCTTCCCCAAGTACAACAGGAGACCAATGCAAAGTGTTTGCAATGGGGTAACTGGATCAGTGCAGTTAGGCAGTGTAAATGCGGGAATAGCTGACTGAAGTTTCAGTCCCTGAAACTAAATAGCAGTCCAAGGGTTTTGAATTTGGCTGTATTTCTACTGACCTGTGGACATTTGAATGCTGCATATTTCCCTCTTACAGAAATGTCGCAGATATCCCTCTGCCTCTGCAGAGATGTTTGGTCTTGAATTTGGCGTTGAAGCTGACACAGAACTGTGGACGTTAACCTCAGTAAGAGCTCAGGTCAGCAGGGATTGACAGTGTGATTAAACTACAAAAACTTTTAGGTGCCTAGCTGTACGTCTAATTTTGAGAGTTAACTTCTCACCAATGCATTGCAAAGTGACATGAACAATAGTCCAGTGCTCTGGTAGTTACACTTGGGAAAAAAGTAGATAACCATTTAAAAACCAAACTGAAGACTTAGATTTTAGTGAGCAGTGAAATGTGACAGAGTCTTGAGACTAGTAGATTCAAATTTTCTGTTTGTTTGCAGCCTGTTTTGTAAACATAAGGGATGTCTAGATTCATTTATTTTTAAGGTTATACTTTGAGGTTGAGGTTCAGGAATGGCTGTCCTTCTTGCAAGCAATTTATCCTAGGCCTGTTCAAAAAGTGATGCAAAGTGCAGGCATGTTTTTCACATACCAGCAATTGTAGCTCCTAATAGCTGCAGTCTTGGAGAAAATAGGCTCTGCTTACATTCCACCTAATATCAGAACTCTAAGTGGGTTAAGGCTTTGCATGTACACTTTTATTAATAAGTGATATTTCCTTTTTGAATATTAGACCAGGAAATTCCATTTCCTCTGTGCTTTGCTAAGACATCTCATGTTGTACTTGTTTTTTATCAATGTGAAAAAGTACTCTAAAGTATCATCTTTAGGAAAGTGGCTTTTAACAAGAACTTCGGTGTGAATTAACTTTCAAGTGTTGTAAAACCTTTCAGATAACTTTTGTATTCAAATTTATGCTTAGAAAACAAGATCTAAGGTGTATGCTGTTACACTTAAAGCAAAGTTGTTAGTCAGAGATAGGACTGTCGTCTTGAAAACTTCAAGTGGGTGAGTAGCCTACTGTCAGGTTGGCTGGTGGATCATAAAAGCAGCAAAATCTGTCCAGTGCAACAATGCAGTTTTATACCACTTGCTAGTAGATTTGTCTGAGAGAAACGTGTTGTTTGGACATACAGTCATCTAATTTTTGTATGAAACTTGTTTGTAAAAATTCATACAGTAATGTTTGTTACTCTGTAAAACACAGCTGCTTTTTCCTTTTCCTTTCTCTCTCCCCAATTATGAAATGCTCAGTTTCAAACACTTCTCAGGTATTAAAAGTCATATGATTAAATCCTTTTACAGATAGTCTTTCTGGCTGGAACCCAGCTAAGTTTGCTGATGCCTGACGTGGTCCTACTTTGAGTAAGATTTTTCTGTATTGTTCACTAAATTATTGTATTATGGTGAATAAGTTATTTTCAGTATTGCTTGGGAAATTAGTAACTGCAGACATAATGTACTCTTCAGAATGACTGGAGCCTTCCTTCTGAATATTTTGTTTGAAAGCAACCTCTGACTCAAAGGGCTCTAATCCAGCCAACTGTCAACTGCTGTCTTCTGCTCTGCAGAGCCTGACTGCTCACAAAGATGTAATTTTATAATTTAAAAAATGGCACTAGTGCATTCAGCTATTGCAGAGGTGAATGAATGCAGGTACAGGCCAAGAATCATCTCCTGTATTTTTATTAACTAACCTCTAGCCTTCGTACTCTTCATAGGAGATTCTGTGAACAAAGATCACTGATATTCAAAGCTCCACTGTAGAACTGGTTGAGGGTATTCCGCTGTAACAGCAGCCCATCACTTTTAGATGTAGCTACTGCACTTTACATTAAATTAATATTAACTTACATGTTCTGACAAAAGCTACATTTATTTCAAAAAAGAGAAAAGATGCATTTTTTAACCAGATACCCAGCTTTACAGATTGCACTTTGAACTAAGGCTCCAGTTCACAATAACACTAGTACCCAAAGAAGTATGTGATTGGCATACAGAGGGGTTTGTGCACTGCCCTCCTCGATCATACAGATTAATAGACATGCGCACAAGTAGCCATAGTATGTTGGAGTATGAAGTGATGTATATGCACCCTCAGGTTTTACAGCCCCAGAATGCTTTCTTCCCTTGCCGGCAGAAAGTAAGTGGGTTCCTAGTCCTTAGGTTCAATTATTATTTTAGTTTAATTAGTGTGTTGAGCATAATGTAGATTCTGTATATTGGCATATGATATCCATCATTCCTTGAATGTTAAACTTCAGTTTTTTTAAGAAAGGGTGATTAGCTCTCAGTGATGGCAAACACTTGCCCAATTCACAGTCACTAAAAACTCATTAAGTAGTATGTAAGGAGTGGTGTTGGGTTTTTTTGTTCCATCTCCGTTGAAGTCTGTATACTGAATGTTTGTGGAAAGCATGTAATATTTTGCAACATTAAATTGCATTTGATTCAAAATAAATATTGTTTGCCTTTTCATACATCGTGTTTGTGGAGAAGAATGCATCTGCCAGTATAATGCCTTGAAGTAAAGTAAGGGTAACTTCTCCCTCACAGAGGTAACAGCAGTTCTGACGCTTAGAGGAGGCTGCATTAGATAGAAGGCCATTAAGTAATGAGATAGATATTACTTTACTGATCAAGCTGATTTTTTGCAAGTAGAGAAAATACTTGGAAAACTGCAAGCCCGTGAATCAACAGTGACAAGTAGCAAGAAATGCCTAAAAATGAGTGGCGTATATTTCATAGAATCATAGAATAGTTTAGGTTGGAAAGGACCTTGAAGATCATTGAGTTCCAACCTCTCTGCCATGGGCAGGGACACCACCATTTCCACAAATCCAGAAAACTGCATCAGAGTGAGTACTTCTGGGAGAGCAAAGTGTGAATCTTCAGTATTCGTTACCTGAGACTGTGCTCCCAACTTAGGGAGGGAGTTAGTGGCTGCATGGCCTTGCACCTGCCCGTCCGCTCCTACTTCCCTTTTACCACAGTTCCGGATCTTTATAGAGAGAATTTCCTACAAGCTGCACAAGATGGATGGTCAAGTAGAGAAGCCAGGCCTCTGAGACAAGCTGTCTCAAGAACCACATTGTTAAAATAACAATTTCCTTACCTAGGAAGGAAATGAAATCAATGAGTGGGTTCTGGATTGGCTTTGATTGTGGCTCATACCAGCTGCAGCATAAGAAGCCAGCTGCACACGGAAGGAGTTTCAGAGGCTTCTGTTCTAGAGATGATGGAATTACTTTGCTGTAACACATACAAACCTGCCTTTTTCTCCAAACTTATGAGGCAGAATATTACCCAAGAGGGGCGGCTGGAAATCTCCTATCAGCATACACCTGGCTGTCAGTTAAAAACAGTGCAAGCTGAGAAAGACTGAAGTTTGAAGGAGGTAACTTCTGTGCCCGCGAACTAAGGAGCCATAAAAAACTGTTAGTAAACTCCCAGCATATAATAAGGAGGTGAGTAGGAATTTTTCAAGAGCAAGTTGTGTCTACCTAATTAATTTTTTTCTTCTAAGATACAGTATTTGCTGTCCCTGTGGCTATGGAAAAAACAGTATAGCGTTGGGTTTTGCACTAGTAAGATTTCTAGCACTGTCTGACAGGACATTATTATGAAAGTGCTAGAAGACCTGAGTTTGATAAAAATTCTGTGGATTAGCGTGAAATTGTTTGGATTGCTGCTTCAGAGCTGTTCTAGGTAGTCCATTACACCAGAAGGTGGTGTCAAGTGGAGTTCATCAGGGAGTCTCTCCTGGGTCACCTTCTGTTTAATTGCTCAGCAGTGCCAACATGGAAGGTATTGATAAACTGAAGTCTGGGAAGGTTCACAAATACCTTGCAAAGCAGGTGTAAAATCCAAAGGTAGTTTGATGAATTATAGAAAATAGAATAAAATTGATTAACAGCAAGGTATTACACCTGTACAGGCATCACTGACAACACTGAATGCAGAATAACTAGGAAAGGAGCAGTTCTTTGTACAAGAAACTGGAGGGTTAGTGTGGATCAGGAGCCAAATACAATACGATAAGGCATCACCATATTAAAAAGAAAAAAGACATCATCATGCTGGAAAAAAAAATAAAAATTTGTGAGACAGGAAGAAATCCATTCCCTCAGAGAAGGATAGCAATGAGGATTGCCAGCAGTTGGAAAAAAAGCGGCCTGTGTAGAGAGAAATAGGCTTAGTCAGCCTTAAAAAGCAGCGTGAGATGGTCATTAACAGGATGTAAGTATGTAGCTTCTTGTGCACCTCCTCGCTGGCAGAGCATGGGAAGGTGAAAAGTCCTTGACTTAGTGCAAGCACTACTTACCAACAGCTAAAATATCAGTGCGTTGTCAACATTGTTCTCATACTAAATCCAAAACGCAGCACTGTACCAGCTACCTGGAAGAAAATCAACTCTACCCCAGCTGAAATCAGGACAGTTACTCTACGTCTCTTCCATAGCTTCTTATAAAACATTGAGAAGTACTGCGGTTCTGTCTCTATTCTCATTTATTTTTAATTTATCTTGTAGACTATACGAAGCATTCTTACAAAGTGATCAGCTTAAGAAAATGCTAAAGAAGAAGGAAAATACCTGCAATTCAAAAAAGCAAGAACAAAATTCTAAGCAAGTTGTTTTGATG